TAAACAAACAAAAAAAAAAAAATCAGAATCATCATAAACAAACAAAGGGAATTATCAGTACATGCGATTAAACATGTTCAATAGATTCAAAATGAAAAGCCATAATCTGCAGCAATGTAGCTCTGATCTAATCACAGACATTTAAATGAGATCAGGCCATATTACAGTTACCTTTTGTGGATGTATATTTGATATTTTAATCCTGATGATATGATGCATTATCATCCAATCTGAAAATCGGTCCCTTTTCCTCCTGTTTGTCAATCTTGCATTTAATGAAAATACTATTTATTTGGGTATAGATTGCTTTTGGTTGTGAAAAAACCTCCATTTCGTTTGGTGACTAATGTTGACTAGATTGCCTTTTTTTCTTCCATAAAGGCAATAATGAAGTTATTAAATCTGTGCATGCGTATGGTGTTTGTGTTTCTCTGACAGATTTACAGCATGCATTCAGCTCAAGTGGTGCAGTGGCACATAATTTGTGTTTTTCCCTTTTGACTAGCACACAGATTTTTGATAGGAATGATCAAAAGTTACCTTATAGCCTCTTGTTTTAAAAACATGGAGCGACCTCCAAGCTACTAAATGATATTCGGATTTAACAAGGTTGGTTAGCACTTATGAAACATAGGAAAATATAACCTTCTAAATCAAAGTCACTCTGCCTTGTTTTAATATTTAATGCAGTCATTCTGACTTCTTTCAAAACACACCCACTTTAGCTTTGAGGAATTCTTTGAACATTTGCATTTATCTCTGAAACATTAGGCATTTGCTTCTCATCATAAATCCTCACTTATCATCTCTCCAGTATCACAAGAAGGAAGATACATACAGCATTTTGCCTTTGCTTTCATACTAAAGTAGCATATGATGAATGAATCCACTCTCCTAATAATTCTCCCCGGCTTGTGTAAATGACCCTCCTGGGCATTTATAAGCTTGATAAACCAAAGCCGTCCATGAAGGGAGAGAGAAAGAGACACTATGGGGGAGAGAGCGAGGAGGATGAGGAGGGAGGGATAGGTTGGAGGCTCGGAGGGTCTTTGAGGAACAGAAACAGAGTTGTTAGTGCTTTGCCCTTCGGGGTGAATCAGAAGTAGCTTTAAGGGCTGTGAGATGCAGGGTTTGTTCCCCACCTGATGGCGTGTTTACCACCTTGTTGCACAGAGGCTTTGCTTTTGAAGGATCAGTCTCAAACGCGCCTCTAATTAAAGCTGTCATGGCCGGGTGCCTGCAGGGATAATGTTCTATTATTATAGCCATTTGTTTCAATTAAACGCTGACTGATTTTACAATAGCAGCCGTGAACCTGTGTGAGTGAGCCATCACTCCAAACAAGATGGCTCCAGTCAACCAGTGAGTGGGGAAGACTAAGAAGTGTTCGGAGTCACAGAGGCATTGATCGCTGCCCAGCGTATTCAAACCGGGCGAGATTGAGATTGGGAAAGTGTCTGTTGAAATAATCAAGAGGTGATCTATCCCCACAATGTTAGTTGGACAGATATGCAACATGAACAAAATGCTCTCCTGTAAATAACTCAGTTCCTGTTTTCGCTTACAGTCAGAAGACAAAGTAAGGTGAATTGACTCCAGATCTTTGAGGCACTACATTAAAAGGTGACAGAAGACATTTATTGTAGATGTTGGTAATGAGTTGAAACATGATGACGTCTATCGATCCCGTGGCATGAAGTAGCTGCTTTGTTATTATGATGGTTCAATAAAAACCTGCATAGCAGGCCACTGCCTCATTTAAATGATGAAACAGATGGCACTCTGGTATAATGATCATCAGCACATAGCAGAGTTTAGCTTTACCTACTTTCCTCTAGTGTGAAACTCGTCCGTTTCTCCGCATAGCTCTGTTTATAGGCCTGTCTACTCCTCTTCTCACATCTCTTTGCTGGTGGTCAAATCCCTTTAGCTAAATCAAACGGTGCAGGCAATTGGAGCAGCCGTGAAGCCATTTCAAAGGTAAGGTCACCAGGAGCAGGGGGAACAATGGCTTTGTGATATTCCATCTCTCACACAATGTGCTACACATAATTGGAAAGCCTTTGTTATTTGACTCCCATTTGACTATGATGTACAAGATGTGAATACAAACACGACAGGCGGAACGCAGGCAGAGGAACATGCTCACACTGAGTGTCCGGCCTTCACATTACAGTTCAGATCGGCCACGCTCCTCACCAAGAAGCTCATCACCAAAAACGATATCCACACATCCCGCGTTTAACTTTCAGCTATGGATTTTACCACATATGTCTTCTTGCTTCCAGTTTATGTATAATTTCCCCATATTCTCCCTATCTCTGTAGCGTTGATGACAAAGGAACCTATCCTCCTGTTAAAATCAGACACAATGGCATGTTTATGTCACAGGCCCATGAAAAGTCAGGATTAGTTATATCCTCAAGAAGAATAACCAATCAAATCCTGTTGCCCTTTCTGCACTCCCACCTCTTTTGGACAGACATTTGGATGACACCATTAAGAATTAGCATACAGTACCTATGGCAACCGGCAACCTGTGTCAGATTCTTTCATAATATTTGTGCCGCCGTCTGCAGCTGGCTTTATTTAGATCAGGCTTGATGCCGCCGTCTGATAACTTCGAGCTTTTTCTTTCTCGAACAGGTGCAAAGCACCAATTAAAAGCACTCAGCGACATTTTCGAAAAGGATTTGATGGACTAAGAGAAGTACGTTATCACGGTGGGAGTGATCACGGCAGTAGTATGCATTAGTTCTATTGTGTAGCATAAAGCTTCTTTTATTCATACTTAGGAATGGTGCTTTTTCCATACTTATATCAAAGTATGCCATTAGCTGCACACTCATGGAATAATTTATGCTTCTATAGTCCAATGACTAACTGCATCATTAGTTACAACAGAGCATGCAGCATTAATGAAAATGGAGCAAATGCTACATATCAGAGTGAATATGAGAGGAAACGTAATACCTATAAATTGAATAACTGAAATAAAAATCACATTTAACCTAAAAATCTGATCAAATAATTATTTGTGGTTTGGTGTAGCGGTCTTCCTTATGGACACATTTTTTTTACAAATGTTTCTTTCTTTAAAGCTCTTGTGACCATATGTGTGTATTTTTCAGTGTTCATTCTGTGAGGGTTGACAGCAAGTTTCTATGATGCAACATTATATTCCCCTCCATAAACTGCTTCGCTCTTCATCTCCATGTTTATGTTAAACACTGTGTGACTCAGATTAAAGGGTGACAATTTTGCCTGGAGGTTGTTGCTATGGAAATGCATCTGATATCACTATGATAGGCCATTCATGTTTGATTAATTGTTTTTTTTTATGCTTCGTGGTTGGTGAGGACCTGTAAAGAGCAAGTGAACAGACGGAAGGGGGAAACACAAGAATTCACCTTTTTCTTTCTTCGTTTTTAATCCCTTTTCATTGGGGGATGGGGGGTTATTCTAAGTGCTTATTTTGTTGGAGACGTTTTGTCGTGTTTTAAGAAAGGTAGTAATGGTGTTTTGAAATATGATTTGAAGTTGGAGATATCCGCGGATGGGGGGGGTTTACAGCTTGGTTATTTGAAATGCAAAAGGAATGTCTTTGTTCACGGCTGGCTTTTGTGAGCAGCTGCAGAGGCAAACACAGAATCTAATGTCGTGTGAATATTATGAGTTTTCGAAGCAGTCCAGAGACGTTCACAACATTACTTTGTAGTGCATTTTTATTCCGGCAATCTAGTGGGACCAATTATGATTAGAGAGCCAAGCCTTCATCTCTGAACCTCTGCTCGTATTTATCAAGACCTCATATGCCTTGGCTGTTTCAATTTGATCTTTTTTAGCACTGCACTAATGTATAATGTATTATTTAAGTCATAAATATTTAAAAGAGCTAACAAATGCTACATCATCACTTTCTGATCTGTAAATTGCCAAACATTCCCATTTATGCATGCATTAAAAGCATCCTTTGGTCTGTGCACTTGCTATGTCCAGATAGATCTTGAAGAAAAGCTTTTGATTGAAGATATCTAAGACCAGAACTTTATCTTAGTCTGATTCTATCATTACTAAAGGCGCGTTTTTCATGTAGGGGTTATTCTCCAGCTGTGAGCACCATTTTTTATTCTATTTGTGCCTGCAGGTGTTGCCAAAGGTGTTGTTTAACTTAACACTAAGAAAGATTTCTTTCTTTTGCAGTACACAGTGAGCATAATATATCTACAGGGGGTTGATGGGGTTGTAGATCAATACCATTGACTCAATGATTGCTTTACTAGGTGCAGAGAGGTCTGACTTAAGAGAATTAATTTTCTGAAGAAGGGACCAAGGTCCCCCCTAAACGCCAACCAGCTGCTATCTCTCTGGGTATATGTATATACATATATATGTATATATAGTGTTGTGTATATAGTCCATGCAGCAACAAGCCATGTACAGCCATGTACAAAGGCTTGTACAAAGGTTTTTCTTTTTTCACTTGAGACTGATGGCAGAAATGGCAGTAAATTGCATCACTTTGTACATAATTCATAGAGTAATTCATGCTACTTCTCCTCAAATGTTGCTTTTTGAAAGTAGAAAACCCATAAGTGCATATGAAATTCATCCATATATAAAGGCTAAATTACTACTGCACTTAGATAGTAACAATCTGTCAGTAACCCTATTTTTGAAATTAGAGCAAAATTAGAACAACGTTTTCCCAAAGCACAACAAATTTGGGCTTAATATTAAAGATAGTGGACAGACGTCTGTTTGGAAGAAAGGAATACTTTTATACAAATGGCCCGAGGACAACAATGAGGCGAGTGAGAGATCCTGTTTTGTTTTTGTATGTTTTTTAGTGTACTTACATTTATCCAACATACACTCACACAGCTCACAAAATAAAAATTTAAAAAATGTCATCTCCACTTCAAAATTTGCTAATTGGCCCCCTAATTATTCTGAGTGGATGAGAAGATAGTAAAGCTGGTGTTCTTCTCTCACCCCAGATGCAGGAGATGGCTTTGCACCACCACCACCAACAACAACACCATCACCACCACCCAGATGGCGCTCATTACGATCACGCCCGTAACCACCCCATGATAAACAACTCACCTCCGATACTGTCCAACCCCATGAGCGCACTGTCCCAGCTAAACCCTCAGGTCAGCCGGAGCGCGCTGCCTCACGGCTCCCCCTCACCTCCAGGAAGTAAATCAGCCACACCCTCCCCTTCAAGCTCCAATCAGGAAGAGGAGACTGATCCTCACTCCAAGGTACTCATGTTGCCTCTCTGGCTTGTAGTTGTTGAGATGAAGGCGTACATTTCTCTTAGATGGTTTGAGAGGGATCAGGACGTGGCCATGCTTGTGCATCTTGTATTTGGTTGTCTGGACGTGTCAGATGTGGTTTTGTTGGAGTTTGAATGCGCTGCATATATTTTTTCATTTGACAGTGAAGTAAAACGGTACAGAATGTTGCTACGGAATATATTCTACATTATTTTACATGGGTATCATTATTTTTTCCTCTCTTTTTTTTTTTTCAGAGTGGTCCATGTAAATCAAAAGCAATATGTAGAGCGAAATGAACCCCCTGGTTCATGCTTATAAAGAAAGCAATCTCCTCTTTGCACAAGATAATGTTCATTCCAGACAAATTTCTTTTTAATGTATACGTTTTCAATAGCTGGCCAGTCTATAACCCACATGGCAAGTTTGTTGGCTCACTCCTGAACACACAGAACCTGACATGAAACCCTTTTTCTTTTAAAGCACTGCTTCTCCACAAATGTAAAAAATGGGTGGATTTGATTTTCCTTGCAGTCCTGTCCATCTCTGTCACTCCCTCCACCATTTACAGACCCTGGCTCTAAAGCTAGCACTCCTTCAGTTATAGCACTCATTTGTTAAAGTGAATAGAGACTAATTCTTGTTTAATTTAGTCTTCTGTAAATCTGTGTAACTGCTTTCTTAAATTACCCACTACCCAATGTCTCTGTGGATTTGCCTCATTTTTATCAGGGGAATGTAAATGAGCGTATAATTAAATCTGCCACATCGTCAGTGTTGCAGATTCATCTGTGTTCTTAGCTGTTAGCTCACAGTGATACGGTAAAACAAGAGTGGTAGCCTTTAGTTTGAAAAAAATGCATTTTCCTTCTTATATATCTCTGCTGTGCTTCACACTGCGTATGTGAATAAAAATGATTACCATCTGTCCTATCAGTAAGTAATTCCATTTGCTCTCTCCTATTCATTCTGAGACCACATCAAAGCCAGAGCAGATACATCAGGCGATTTAAAATTCCTTTCACCCCAAGCATGAAAAGTTGGAATTTATGACTTGCTGAGCAACTGAAAAATAAAGATTTGAAAAGGTTTGATAAACTCTACTTGCACATGTTATTTTTGACACTGTAAGGCACAAAAAAAGCTGCAGTCAACCCATGCCTGCGTGTAAAAGTGGCAGTGAAACACTGCCGCGATGTCCAAACAGTGATTATTGAACAGAGAGATTGAACAATAGAGTTAATGAAGTTCGCACGCTTCACCTGGACCCAGTATTATTAGCAGTTGTTAAAGGAACGATTACTCTTCCTGCGTGTTTAGAAATGGCGGACTCAGTTTCAGTGTCAATAAGCTGTTTTGTGTTTTGTGTGCACTGATGGTCTTCCAGATTACGGGTGAGAAGCGACCATCTTCGGACATGATGAAGCCCAAGCCCAAACCCCAAAAAAAGAAGAAGAAGAAGGACCCCAACGAGCCTACAAAGCCTGTGTCGGCCTATGCTTTGTTCTTCAGAGATACCCAGGCGGCCATCAAAGGACAGAATCCCAATGCCACTTTTGGAGACGTTTCTAAAATAGTTGCCTCCATGTGGGACGGACTGGGAGAGGAACAGAAACAGGTACATTACTATTTATATACACACTGTATATTAAGGTTTCAGTCATAATTGATCTTTGGAGTATCTGGGAGTTATTGTTACGGTATAGAGTATTTAGAGATAAGACCGCAAGATTAAGTTAAAGAAAGCATGATGGTTTTAAAATGGACGCTGTGATAGCATATCACTCCACAGTCCTTCTCCCCCAAATAAATACAATAAGAAAAAAAAATAACAAAGGTATACTAGATGTTTATGACGTGGAGTGGCCTAAAAGTAAGTAGCTGCCATCTGCTTTGCGTGTTATTGAATGAAGTCTAAAACCCACAGATTTAAGAAAATCAGAGTAATAAAATCTTGTTTTATATGTTTCTGTATGGATTAGACTTCGGGTGAAAGCAGGGAAAAGGTTGATGTTGCAACGTTGACGTATTTACATAATTCACTTTTATCGTTGGCCGGCCTCTGTTTATGAAACTGAACACTTAGAGCAGTTTATGGCATCCAACATGCAGCACACTTTCAATTTATTTTCAACATTCACACACTCACGAAGTCAAGGAGGTTTCTGTATGTTTGCGCTAACAAATGGCGGTGTGAAATGAACAGAAAAACGAGACAGTCTGATGATCATGCGCATACTCATATTTTTAGAATATCCAGTCAGGGCGCAGCCGATTGGGTGTCAAATAAAAGCACCTGTCTCCGTGACAAAGTGCAACCCATTCGCCGCCCTCCCCGCCACCATCTAGTGGAGCCTGTCCTGCGCGTGTGTCTTTCTCTCCCACCAAACCCGCTTTATTCGCTGGACTTTGGAGGCTGGCTGTCCCTTTTATTTGCAGTTAATTTTTGCCGCCTTCACCGGGGCTCTTCACCATGAATCTTCATTTCGCCGCTGACACCCTTGAATGCGAATTCCTCATTTCCTGTCCTTTTATTTATATCTGTTGCCTGGTGATTTGATCATGCTGGGAATACAAGATTAGCAATTGCCTTGTCCTTGGTTTTGCCTCAAGGACATCTGCTCCAGAAATGTTATTGTTTGGGCTTCTTAACCCCTTCGCGTCCCGTCTTCTTTCTCACCTTAGATTTTTCTGTTTTCCATCGCTCTGTCTCTTGTTGTGAATGCATTGGTCCTTCACAGTTGAACCTGGGAAAAAAGAGACGAAATGAACCAAACAGCAGCCCCTCCATTAAAAATCCTTCCATTTAGTGTGCCACTTGCAGCTAATTTTTTGATTTGTTTGTGCCTTCATGTGTTTAATCAAATGTGTCACCTCGCAGGACACATAATTAACTTGAGGTAATGATGTCATTATGGAATGAAATGTAGCCCCGTGTCTGGGCAATAACCCTGGGATTGCTCTAATTATTCTCACTGAATAGCGGTGTCATTTATTACAGCAAAACCAATGAATAAACTTCATAACAGTGTATTTACAGAACAGAACCAATTCAGTTAGTACATGTTAATAGTCAGTAAAATCATTAATGTTTCTGTCACTGCTTTTCACAGAGGCCAAAACTCATTGCTCCACACATCTACTGACCTGTAATGTTGAAGTCAAATGCTTTTCTAATGAAAACGTTCCATGCCAAGTTCTCATTCCTTTAAAAAAAAAAAAAGTCCAGTATAGGGGACTTAACTCTGAACTTCAAGCTCTCCTCTTGATCTGTTTATACAAGCAGAGAAATTCTTTTCCTCCCAACATTGGCGGTTGTTACGTCAGCTCGACGGGACTGACGAGGTGTGTTCCATAATCTTATAGTCAGACCTTGTGGAGCCTCACAGGAGCACCAGAATGTAAACACAGCCCTTCCCCTACACACAGCTTTGTTTTAACTAGATCGCGGCTCCTGTTTCCAATTACCTATAGTAGTCCTACAGCATACCGCACAGTAAAAATTCACATAAATGCGGCGAAGGCATAATTCTTTTCTCCGTTTTTGTGAAGAAACAATCAAAAGCTTCACTGTTGTGTTTAATGTTCTTCATGTTTTTCCTTTTGTCGAGCTACCTGATGCTTTTTTTTTGTGCATATTTTCTTGCATTTAGTATTCCTCAGCTTTGTCCTTGAGGTTGGCACAACCAACTAATTTTTTATTCTTATGTTTATGTTGTTTTTTCCTTTTTATGCAATTTTTTTTTTGTTTTGTCCCAAAGGCTTTTGCTTTATAGTCCTAGATCAATGCTTTATGTGGGTTTTGTTATTCCTCAAGGTGACTACATGTTAAAGTTACCCCAGCAACACAAAACAGTGTTTTCTCTTGTTTTTGTTATTTAGGATTAAGATCAATTTTTTGTTTTTTACGGCACTATGGAGGAACAGTGATGATGGACTTAGGGGGAGGAGGGGAGGAGAGACCATAGCTTTAATTTAATTTAATTGAATCCATGTTTTGGTTTTGTGTACTGATAAAGGTCAGAGATGGGGAGGGGGGGGGGGGGGCATTTTAAACAGCATTATTTTAGATTAAAACTGTGGGATGAGTTTTACTATCCGATCAGCTAATTATTTATCTTCTTTTTTCCCCTTCATCTTTGATATATTTTTTGTTTGTTTGGAATTCTCATCTCCTGTTCACCTCTCCCATTTCTCCTCCATCTCTGCTTCCCGTTTGTTCCCTCTCCTCACTCTCAGTCTTTGGGTTGTAGGGTAATCACTCCCTTCAGTGTCAGCAGGGTGCGGGGTTATTGTCTCCTGTAATTAAGTGGTTATCAAACAAGAACAATTCATTAAGGTACAATTAGGGGCTAATTCAGGCGGGACACCTCTGTGTCAGGATTACGATAGAGGCATATGCTCTCTCATTGCAGCTTTGTTATTTTTAATTCATTCTGACCTGCAGCCTTTGACGGCTTAAATTGCTAATGAATCCACTCACTTTGGAATAATTAGACATCCTTAGGCATGGTAATTTATTTAAAAGTATCTGTCATTGCGCAAATCATTAGCTGTGTTAAATTAATTCGGAATTAAATCTGCCAGGATTAGTTTGGTTAGAAGTAGACATGACTGTGATAGTGAGCGAGATGTGAGGAGGGACAACTTGTTTTTCTGCTGTTGTTTTCTTTTTTTCAATTGTTTTTATCAGTATACTGTGTGTCCTTTTTCATCATTCTTGTTCCATGATATCTGAGAATTTTGTCAGCGAAAGAAAATAATGATAATATATTAAATAAGGATTAGTGAGAGGATAAACATCAGCAAGTGATTGTATCCGCCATCATCCCAGTTTGTTTGCTGTTCTACGTGTCTGTCTGTTTGTTTATTGACTGTGCATGTTAGTGAGTGCCAGCCAATGAGCATCTGGCAACACATGAATGCTTAATGGTTATTCTACCCAAACCTCTTTCAAAGAAATGACCCTGTCTGTGTAACCGCAGACAGCCTCTAACAGAGGATCAGTAATTACCCTTTGCATTCATCCGCGCACAAACACACTTTCCCTCATATTAAAATGCTTCAGCGACGAGCCGAGATCTGAGACTTCTTCATCGATTTAAGGGTGGACTTTATGTGACTTACTTTCGTTGCAGCAAAAAAAGCAATGCCATCTATAAAGAGCCCGTGAGTGACATGTGATGACATTAGCTTGAATTCCCTGTCTCAAAGCATCATTTGAAGTTCATTCAGAAGGCTTCAGATTGCCTCTTTGCTAATGTTGTTTCGAGTTCTTTCTTTTTTTTCCCCCCTCCTCGTCTGAATGGTTTGCTGGGACATCAGCTCTGATTAAGAGATAAGCAGCAGCCATAATAGAGGAGAAGACAAAAAAAAAAAAAAAGCTGTACACAAAGTGACAAACAGCATTGCTATCCTCATTTGGCTGCATTTCTATTCTCATGTTATTTTGCACAATATTCCTAGACATTTAATTTTGGATGTCAAAAAAACAACAACAATCGATTCAAACGCATCAACATCGTGTGGATGGCCAAATCTCCTCGACCTGATAATTGTGCGCTGAATGCTTTTGAAATGTTCTTCCTCCCCAACAAAATGCCCCAAAATTTCATCCCCATCAGTCAGTGTGGGACACAGGGTCATTTTAGCCTTTGGCATCACCTTGTAATCAAACGTTGTTGTTGTTGTGTTTGCTCCTGCAGAGCTACAAGAGGAAAACAGAGGCTGCAAAGAAGGAGTACCTGAAAGCCCTGGCCGCCTACAGAGCCAGTCTGGTTTCCAAGGTAACAGAGGGGTCACATCTTTGATATACATGGGTCAGCAGCGATATAAGGGATGATAAATTAGACAGAATTCCTCTCCCTCTCATTTCAAGCAGAAGATCTGCTCGCTGCACTGAGGATTTTTTATGTTTGTGCATACATTTAGGTTTGTGTTTATGTGTGTGCATCTTTAAAGAGAAATCTCTCTGCGTGTGTGCTTTGAAGAGAACAGTGGAAATTAGGCCTCCAACACACCCAATTTGTAACCTGGGGAGAAATGGAAAGTAATAGCACACATCTGTATGTGTGTGCTTATCAGTGTAAGAGTGGGAGTGGACATTACCTGTCATTTGCTGTTCCCATTCTCCCCAGTGGGCCAATAATGTATCGGCTGAGGTGTGCTTTCACCCACAGATCATTCTTTGATCTTTAGCCGTGAAAATTAATATATTTCTTTCCGTTTGTGCATAAAACGGAACACATAGAAGAAATGAATTTTCCCACATCTGCAGGGTTTTTCCACCATAGTAGAATATTGCAGGGCTGTTTCAATCTGTCGACATGCTGCAATTCATTTTTGTCTCCCCGCATTGTTCTTCGAATTCAAGTCTAAATTGCATTAGCATATACCAAGCTCCTCCTTTTCACTCTTCCTCCCTCCTCTCCTGAGCACATTGCCACTCTTCCTCCCATGCGCATGGGCCGAAAACAAGCACCTTGATTAATGCATGAATAGTTAATTCATCAGCCTCTTCAGCGCGCATACTTTAAACTAAAAAGACTATTCTCATCTCTTGTTTTCGGTGCGATTAGACATTGATGGCAGAGCCTCTACACAGAGGCTTGATTGATGCCATATGCTGGTGCATTGCCAGTGCAAAAATCTGACTGACAAAAATAAACCTGCAAACCTCCCTTTAGTCATTCATGAACAGCCAGTCTGAATTTGGGACTGAATCTCATCATTTACCACGACTTTTTTTCTGAATTACCAATAAAGGAGTCTTTTCAGAATGAATTGGGGTGAGTGGAATTGGAGGTAATTAGAGGTTCATTTGATGGATTTACATCCTCAGTTTGCACCTGTTGCCTATTTGAAATGTGACACTTTTCAGTTTGTTAAATAGCGGAAAAAATTCAAATAAAACATTCAATGTGCCCCACTAAGTCATGATTCATTTTAATCCAAAACTTAACGTTAGATAATGATTTAGGAAGTTTTAATGGAAAAAGTATTCAATACATTTTTTTAAAATGCAATAGTCGTTTAGTATAGATACCGAAATGAAACTCCATCTACTGTAAAACACTGTCTTCAATATCGAAGGCAGCTTCGACAAATCAAGCTTACAGCCTCACTCTCCCCATCCTCCTCCAACTTATTTCTCCAGTATTTCATTTTCCACTTGACCCTGCAAACGTTTCTGTCTCTCTACTTTATCCATCCCTCCAAGCCATTCAATTGATTATTTTAGGGATTCACTTGAATGGATGTGAGCCATTACTAAATAGCAGGCCGCACCACACATCACTCCGACCAGTTTGACAGTTAATGAGAAACACTCGATGTATTTCATACACACACATGCACATCACCCTGTGAAAGAGAGACAGAAAGATCTGCGGAATAGATGTTTATGTGAAGACACAGGGGTTGGGTGGAGGTTAACTCAGGAACAAATTATATACACACAAATACCCACAAATATATAATATATGTTTATATATATATGTAATAAATGTGTATAGATAGATAGATAGATAGATATATAGATAGATAGATAGATAGATAGATAGATAGATAGATAGATAGA